TGAACACTTAGAATGTGCCAGATACTGAGCTAAGCACCTTACATATTATTCCATTGTTATCATGTTTATTTTATACATGGGAAACTAACTAGAGCAACATTTCTGGTAAGCAGTAGAGTCAGCATTTACACCTGGGCTCCTGGGTTCAGAGGTAACAAGCACCTGACCCCATGGGGTCTGAGCGAACTACGGAAGGGACTCTTGCCTAAAGAAAGGTATATCGTCTCTCCACCAACCCTGCCACCAGGCTCTGTCATTCTCACAATTAAATACTCATTTCTGCAAGGGAAATCATTGTACGTGATAAATTCTCTCAACCCAAAATATAACTCTTAGATAAAATACATCAAAGGGTTAACACATCAGCTACGCTGACTTCTTGTATTAAACGTCACGTTATCCACATTACACAAGGGGTGTATGAGAGGGAGGCTCAGGAGATTCGAGGCCGGTGAACAAAATGGGTTCCTCTACCTAATCTCTCCCCCTGAAACCGCTTACAAGTCCACAGGTTGTCTGTTTTCTGATTCCTTGACTACTGAGGAGAACTGGGTCAACAAACTGAAAAATGAGTATGTGTCTGATCTTTTATCTCACTTAATGAGGTTAACACCATTTTCATAAAGATAAGGAGATATAGGCATTTCTTAAAATCTGATTTATCTTAGGCTATAATGCAGAAGATAGAATTCAAGATAAGTTGAAAAAATACCCTCTAATTGCAGAAAGAAAATAAATGTTTGATGATTCATTTGCTTTTATATTAGAGTCATTGTTCTCTTGGTACATCAGGCAATTGACTGATTATTCTTTATGAGTATATGCAAAAATGAAAGAAAAAAGAAGAGGGCAAAAAACTGGGGTATCGTGAGTTAAAATCTAGGTTGTGTCGGATAACTGCTGTGAAGGAGGCGGGAAACAAATTGCTAACCGTGTAAAAACCTGTTAGGTGCTCACTTCATAGAGGGCTCATGGACACGCAGATTAGCCTATGAGGAAGCCAGAGAAAAAGAGACTCAGACTGCTTTGCATAACTTCCTATAACTATTAGAAAAATCATGTTCAAAGTACAAATTATCCATTAATATTCATCCATATCCTTTAGAGAGATTATCACCATCCTGAGAAGATACTTGTCAGAATCAGCAAAAATAAGCACAGCCAGGTTCTACAGTAACTGCTTTTGTTCTTGGCTTCCTCCCCCTGCCACTCCAGTGGTACCCATGATGGACTTCTCCGTCTCCTACAGTCTTTTCTCGGTCATCCGTCCTGCATTCTCTGGGCCTCAGTCTTAATATTCTATATCACCCACCCTTCTGGTTCTTTAACTGACTGTGCAACTGTACCAAATCTACTGGTAGACCCATGTATTGTGATCTTAATTTCAGAGATTGTATTTTTAAATTCTAGAATTCTATTTGATTCCTTTAAATAAATTCCAAATAGCCTTAAAATGGTTCACAGTCCCACCTAATGCCACTGTAAAGTCTAAATCTGATAATTGGATTATATAAATATCCACTGAGACTGTTTCTATTGTGTGGTTTTCTCTCCTTCTCCCAAATATATAATATTTTAGAGATAATCTGGGGCTCTGAACCACTTTATTTTTCTCGAGAGAAATAAACAAGAGTAGGATCAGATTACTTTCAGTCTAGAACTGATATGATTGAGAACTGGATGTAAGTATTTGCAAGGACTGGACTATTTCCAGTTGCCTCTATTCTTAAGGTAGAGCCCATTCAAGAGTCCAGCTGAAAACTTGGAGAGTTAACCAGGTCCACTCCCCTCTGGTTGCCCTGAGATCTCATTTTTGTCTCCACAGCCCCATTAAGCTGTTGAAAGCCCTGCTCAGATTCTCAGCTGGAGTTTTCTCTGCAACTTCTTCACATCCGGTGTTATTATTTTTTAATTATAAAGTGCCTTGAGGGGAAAGGTTCAAGGATTTCATTCTCTGAAATTTTGGTAACTCAAATTATGTCAGTTTTTATTATTCTTTAGTGCCTTCCAGTATTATTTTTATTTTAATTTCAAACAACTTTTCTAGTTGTTTGTATTGAGTTTGTCTAATGCAAGTTATTCCATCAAAGCTGAAAATGAGTATCTTCAATATTGTTAAAATTAAAAACACAGATACCCTCCGACCCAGCATTTCCATTGTAGCATCTTATCCTACAGAGAAGCTCATTCATGCCCCAAAACATAGGTATAATAATGTTCATCTAGCATTTTATGTAATAACAAAAGACTAAAGAGATATGAGTAAAGAATGAAGTCCATAAATAAAGAGGTTCAACACATTATTCAGGTAATACAACACAATAATGTTGTGGAGACAAATGACCTGAATTTTTATGTGTTAAAATAGAAGATGGAAAATAATGTGTATATTATACTCCAATTTAGGTAAAACTAGATAAACACATTGATATATATTTACATATGCAAAAATGGTTTTGAAGCATTACACAAGATACAAGAGTGGTCGATGTGGGAAAGGGCAGAAAAACTGGAGGCGTAGATTCAGTAGAAGAGTTTTCATTATTTTATAGGGTTTGAGTTCCTTTTTTACATATTATATGCCTGAAATTTAAAATAAGAGAAAAATAAAATGTAACCTGCAAAGTGCGACATACTAGCAAAGAAGAAAATGGCAGTTCAAAGAAGGCTTACTTAAGCAAGAAAACATCACAGTATTAATCTCTTAAGTTTAGATTCTAAGGACAGAGTAGACTTAGTCAAGCTAAGGAGAGACAAAGCAGAGAAGGGAGGAGGAGAAACACGGAAGCATGAGGGGACACCCAACTCTTCGGAAACCAGCAGGAGTTCTAAACTGACGAAAGAGGAGGTGATTGATGTATGAGACTGGCTATCTTACAAGCCTCATTTGCCTCAAGGACAGACCATGCTATGTTATGAAGTTTAAATTTTTTAAAAAGATTTTATTTATTTATTTTTAGAGAGAGGGGAAGGGAAGGAGAGAAGGAGAGAAACATCAATGTGTGGTTGCCTCTTGTGAGTCCCCTGCTGGGAACTGGCCTGCAACCCAGGCATGTGCCCTGACTGGGAATGGAACCGCGCTTGTATGGTTCCCAGACCCGCGCTCAATCCACTGAGCTACACCAGCCAGGGCAAAACTTTGTTTTGAGGCAATGGGCAATGATCCAAAAGTTTGTGAGGAAAGTGTAATATGATCACATGTGCAATTCGTATACCTTATGAGAGCAGCAGTGTGGACAGTGGAATGAGAAGACGTAAGGACGGGAGGAGACAGACTCGAGCTGTAAGTCGCAGACCCTAATGCAGTGACAATAAGGATTAAAAGGGACAGATGATTAAATATTAAGAAGACAAGTGAAAGACATGGGGCCTTATTCATGAATAATGAATATGTGAAGTCACTTATTACAATTCACTTTTTTCAGCTTGGACAACTGAGTAGACAATGGAACCCTTCCCTGCCAGGAAAGAAATGTTGAGTTCTGCAGCTGGCGTTGAGGTGCCAGAGGACATCTAAGAAAGGCAGGTGTCTAGAGGCAGCTGAGCACACATGTCAGGAGCATACAAAGATGAGGAAGAACAGACTTAATGGTCATAAAAACAAATTTGGTAGTTGAAGGTATGGGGGTATTTAACATCACCACAGGAGGCAGAGGGATGGAACCACAGCATATGAAGAGCGGAATATATATTATAAACGCCAGAAGTAAGCTAAGAAAATACTCAGAAAGGTTTCAGGAGTAGGTAGCATTGTAGAAGCCAGTGTGTTGTTGGTATGGAGGAACGAGAAGATGACGTATTGATCACTGTTTTAGACTTGCCGACTGCTTGTTTAAAGATGTGAACATAAATATAATGCTGGCCATAGACCAAACTGCTGTAAGAACAGTCCAATCACAGGGGCATGGGAGGCAACCATGTCCATTAGACAGACTTAAATAAATGACACCAAATTTTCTAGAAATCACAGATAATTGGTCATAATTATATAAGCATTTCATTTTTATTTTAATCTTTACTACTTACCTGGCACACAATAGGTGCTTAATAATGCATAATGAAAGAAACAATGCATTAACATTTGGGGCATTTCTAAGGATTTGGTAAATACTGATAAACCACAAAACAATCAAATACAAATAACTCAAAAGAAATGTTAAAAGCCATAAGTTTAGTGAAAGTGTAACCACTGACAATTGACACCATAACCACCGTATTATGCTGAGGAATTAACAGTATGGAAGGGAACATGGTAATATTAAAGGAGATCAGTTCTTTCATAAAAGTAAGGTGATTTTCTTTCTTCCATCATGATTTTGGAATAAAAAAACTAATAATTACAATATTCTAGTTCATGAAACACTGCCATACTATTCCTCACATTTGTCCAAAACCCCAGGAAAATACAGGGTGGGCAAAAGTAGATGTAGAGTTGTAATACAAATGATACGCTAATTAATAAAGACTGATGCAAAAATAAACTCTGTGTTTCACATATTCACAACTACGACACTACTTTTACCCACATTTGTATAGTAAAGTTTAGAGAAAACAGTGGAAACTACTAAATTTTTCTTTAATGTTTGAACACATTTAGGGTTTGACAATGATAAGGGCTAAGTAATTGTTACTTAAAGTCTTGGAATAATTTCTTTACTATTCTGCAAATTAATTTTCTAATAGGTAAAAGAGATTAAATTAGGTATTCTCTAAATGAAGTTTCTACTCACATTTCTGAGTATAGCAGAAAATGCCCATTTTAATAAACTTTCTGAGAGGACAACTTCCCCAGATATACCTTACTTTTTAAATTATGCCTACAAGCTGGCAATAATTTTTATAATTAATACCCACTAGAAGTTTAAGTTTTCATAAAAATATGTCACAAGTGTATTTGAGTTTTTCTGGAATAAAATTGATTTAAAAATTATTGTAACATGGCACTTTTTCCCATCCTTTAGATGCCTATATTTGGAGAAACAGGTGTTATAAATTCCTACCTCTAAGAGATAAGGTTCCATTTCAGCCAGCGATTTTCCAAGATGCTTATCTGGATTTAAACCTGCCAAGAAAGTTTAAATTTTTAAAATAAATATCTGATTAAAAGTTAAAGACATATTCCCCTCCCCTCACCCAGGTAAGCAGTATGTATTTTAAACTTCTTTGATTGTACAATGAAATGTACTTTGCTATTATTTACTTTCCTATTCTTCTTGGGTAACTGTTATTCTTGCTCCTGAAAAATATTTCCTTCCAATTCATTTCAGTTGCATTGTGTTAACTATGAGATGCATAGTTTCAACCCATTTTTCCATTTTTGAGAAATTGTAATTAGGGTGGAAAAGTACAAGTATCATTTCAAAGATGTAACTGCTAACTTTGTCCAGTTACTCTATTCCCACCAACCACTTAAAATTTTTTTTATTGGATTTTAGAGAGAGACAGAAATGCGTTAGAGGGTGAAGGAGGGTCTTTGATTTGTTGTTCCACTTATTTATGCTTTCATTGGTTGACTCTGATGGGGGATCAAACCAGCAAACTTGGCACATTGGGATGATGTTCTGACTGAACTGCCCAGCCAGAGCCACGCCTACCACTTTTCATTTCAGTGTTTAAAATGAGTCAGTAAATGAAATACTTTGAAACAAACATCCATGCTGCCACCCAGATTTAACAAGTATTACCATCTTGCCATATTTCCTTCACAATCATTTCTTTAAAAAGATCAACAACATCATCACAGTACAATTTCACAACATGCCTATTCCTAATCAATCTCTTTCCCACTGTTTTCTACATGGAGAACCACTCTTCTGACGTTGGTGACTTACTTCCCAACTATGCTTCTACAGTTTTATTACAAACATATGCATGTACCTAAAACATTTAGTATTGCTCATGCACACTGTACTTTTTTATGAATGATATAATTTTAAATTTATTTTTCAATTCACAATGTTAATGAGATTTACTTATATTGATTACCATGCCTCTGGTCCATCCAATTTTACTGTTGTATTATATGCCATTATATGGATGTATCAGAATTTACTTACCCCTCTTCAATGGGTACTAGCTTCTTTTTTTTTAAATCATTTTTTAGTTTCAGTGAAAGCTGACCTACATTATTTTATTACTTTTAGGTGTACAGCTTATTTCTAATTTCTATTTTGCCACTAGTACTTTTTATGCTGCAATGAATTGCTTTTATGTGAAATCACTGTGATACACGAGAACATATATACATACACACAAAACATACATACATATATGTAAAATCTTAAGTTTATTAGATATTGTCAAATTGCTCTCCAAGCACTCTTTCCAATTTATACTTCCACTATCATAGAAATATAATTCCAATTTAACATATACAAAAATAACTCAGTGTTGTCAAATTTTTTTAACTTTTGTAATGAGATGCATATATGCGTGTGGATACACACACACATATATTGCATTATATAGATCGATAGGTAGTGCTTTAGATACTGGTGTTATATTCATTTTCTGATTACTGTTAAAAGTAAGCACTTGTTCATATTTTATTTTCCATTCATTCAGGTTTTCACTTCTATGACTTGCTTATTAAAACCATTTGCCCATATTTATTGCTGTCTTTTCTTTTATTTGATAATTTCTAGTTCTTGATATATTCTGAATGTTAATCCTTCATCATTATATGCATTAGAAATATGTTCCTAGTCAGTGGCTTCTCATCACACATTTTTTTAATTGGGGGAAGGTCTTCAGATAAACATAAGCTTTTTAGTCTATAGTAGTCAGAAGTATTATTTTAAATGTTTCCTCTGTATTGTAATAAACCTTTCCCTGCCCAAGGTCACAATGTTAGTCCCTTATATTTTATTCTGTTATAAATTTTGCTATTCACATTTAAATTTTAATCCATGTAGAATTTACTTCCAGCTACCCTATATGGAGTATTATAACTGTGTCTTTCATTTGTGGATAATAACTACTGTTTATGGAATCCCCTCCCTACTGAGGTACTAATGTCCAGGCCACCTGTGCCCATCACAAAGTTTCCATACATATGTAAGTGTATGTCTCGTCACCTACATTTATTCCCTCAGCATCAACAGTGCAACATATTGTGCAAGTGTCTGTTTTGATCTGCACTAGAGCTAGTTAGTTGGCCAATAACAGACTTTAATCAAAACCCATAATTTCAGAGGCTACAACTTCTAGTTATCTTTATCTTACATTATTAACCTAATGGCTGTTAGAAATGATCTTCCTTGTGAAATGTATTGGGTTGGCCAAAAAATCCCTTTGGTTTTTTCCATACAATGGCTCTAGTGGTGCTTAGTTGTTTTTAACTTCATTCAAAACAATTTTGTTAGATTTTATTGTGACAGCCGTCATATCAGTGTACATAAAAAAACATCAAAATTGGTGAAGTTTTGTGTAGTCAGTTTAATATTGAAGATGGAAGAAAATATGCACTGTTTTTAGTATATTATGATTTATTATTTCAAGAAAGATAAAAATGCAATTGAAAGGCAAAACATGATTTGTGCAGTGTATGAAAATGGTACTGTGACTGATTGAATGTGTCAAAAGTGGTTTGTGAAGTTTCTTGCTGGATGATGCTCCAAGGTCAGGTAGACCAGTTGAAGTTGACAGTGATCAAACAGAGACATTAATTGATAAAAATCAATATTATACCATGTGGGAGAAAGCTGATATACTCAATATCCAAATCAATAAAGTTATTGGTAAAAATGAAAAATATGTCTTATTTTACAGAAAAAACTAGATGGACTTTTTGACCAACCCATATTTATTTTAAAAACAAAGTATGTAGTACTTACTATGTGCAAGGCACAGTTACAAATGCTTTACAAATATTAACTAATTGAATTCTCAAAATAATCCAGGAAGTAAGTGCTACTATGGTTCTCATTGAACATATGAGAAAACTAAGGCACAGACAGGTTTGGTGATTCTCCAAGGTCACCCACTACCAAGAGGGAAAATCTGGACTCCAACCCAGGCCATCTGTCCATGGGGCCCATGCTTTTCTTTAACTACCATACTAGGCTGTTTCTCTATGCTGGGCTAATGAGGTTTCCATCCATATGACATTTGTTCAGATTTGTTTACTGTTTTTATGATCACACTTCTTAAATATGTGTATTAGAGTATGAACAAACACCAAATTTTATAAATACGTTGTCCATATCTGCCAGATGTGTTCCCCAACATCTTTACCAATACTAGATATCATTATTATAAATCTAAAACTTTTGCCATTCTGATAAAGAAATTGATATTTATTTATTGGTATTTGTGTGTCTTTGATTTTGTATGATTGAAGCTTAACATGTTTTTCATATATTTGTGGTCAGATTTATAAACTTATTTTTTTTACTGTAAATTGGTTGTTCATATTTTTTGGCCATTTTCCTACTCATCCTTTTTTACTACTATTGAAACACTGGTCTTGTGCTTATCAACTCGGTTTCTTCTAGGTTCTGCCATTTATCTTATGAATTTGCTTACTGCAGAATTCTTACTGGTTATCGGTCTTCTACTCCTACTAGAGACTGTCACATATTTGGCAAGTTGGGGGGGGTCTCATCAAAGTGCCCGCTGTTCATTGTTGTTTTCAATGCTTTTTCCCTTCTCACTTTGAAAAAAATGTTATTCTTACTTTTATCATTTCCTTCCCTCTTCTTTGCATTTATTCAATAGCTTCATTTCCAGGTTCTTGATTTAAACACTTGAGTCACATATTTTTACACATTTCTTATTTTTTTTAAATAGAAGAATGTAAGTCCTAAATTAGCTGCAGCCCAGAAGATTTGAAAGTGGCACTTTTATTCTCATTCCGCTTTCAATATTTTGTGAGTTATGTAGGATTACTCTTGTGTCAAAATGTGTTTGTTTATTTCACTATTTTTTGTTTTCTAATTTGACTGTATCGTGGTCAAGAATGTAGTCTTTACTGTGACAATTCAGAAAGTTCGGTCAAGTTCCGTTGTGATTTAGGACATGGTCGAATTTTATCAATGTTCTATTCATGCCTGAAAAGCATGTTCTTTATCTGCTGAAAGCAAAATTATGAACCCAAACACACAAAACCAATCGTTAATTCTGCTGTTCAAATCTTCTATGACCTTATTGGTATTTTCTTCCCATAAATCATCAGTTTCTAATAAAGGGTGGTCAAATTTTCCATTACAATTTTGTTATTAAAAATTTCTTATAATTCTGTCAGTTTTGCTTTATACATTTGACAACTATGTTGTTATGTGTATACAAAATCTTATTTTCTAATAGTTCTTGATGGGATTATTCCTTAGTGACCTTTCATCTCCATATGTGACTTTTGTCTTTTATCCTATTTGTCAATATTACAACCTCAACTTTCTTTTGTTGATATTTGCCCATCATTTATTCTTTAATTTTCTGTGTATGTCTTTTTAGATGTCTCTTGTAAACTATATATAATTGGATCTTTAAAAAAATCCTATCTTATAAATACAACTTTAAAGATTTGAGATTAACTATTTTACATTTTTTACATTTTATATTATATGTCTGGACCTGTTTCTATTATCTTACTGTGGATTTTCTGCTACACTAAGTTACATGTATATTTTTCCTTTGCTATTTTTTGCCTCATGTTGGATTGAACAGAATTTGTTTGCTCTGCTGATTAGAAGGCTATAAACTGTGTTTCTACTCATTCAGTAATCAACTTTAATTTTTTTTCCTCCTCACCGGAGGACATGCTCATTGACTTTTAGAGAGAAGGGAAGGGAGGGAGAGAGGAAGAGAAACACCACTCGGTTGTCTCTCATCCTTGCCCCAATGGGGACCAAGCCTGCAACTTAAGCATGTGCCCTGACTAGGAATAGAACCTGTGACCTTTTGGTTTAGGGATGATGCTCCAACCACTGAGCCACACCAACCAGAGCATCACTTCTAATTTTTAGCATACATCCAAAACCACAGTATTTTAATCCAAATGTATTATCTAAAATTTCATAAATCTAAGAATTTATGTTATCCTCCCTTTGATCAAGAGAAATT